ACAGTGTCTAGGGAGAAGGAAGACTAGATTACCCAGTTTTTCAGGCCATCATAAGAGAAGGCTTTCAGTCTCAAAGATGAGAGCCAACGGCGGGTTTTGAGCAGAAAAATGATGATATGAATATTTTTAAAAGGCTCCGTCAGGCTGCTGGATAGACAACAGACTGAGAATAGCCAAAGGATAAATGCAGGGAGAATTTTCTGGTTCAACACTACAGCGAGAGATGACACTGTCTTGAAGCAGGTTGGAAATGACTGGGGTACTAAGAAAAAGTCAGACTCTAGTATATTAAGAAGGTGGAGTCAACAGAAGTGTTGACAGACTGGATTTGAAATTGAAGGAATAGTACTAAAAATGACTTTAAGGATTCTGGCTTAAATTACTGGAAAAAGAAAATGCCATTGAGAGAGGTGATAAAGGCAGGAAGGAGGTTTGGTGAGGGGGAATCAGTTTGAGTTAAAACAGATGTCTATAATTCTAAGGAGTTGTCAGGGAAAATAGAGTTACCAATTTGACCAGTAGATAGAAGCTATTTAAAGTCATAAGGACATCATAAGGTTATTTAGAGAATGAACGCAGACAGAAATTAGAAAAGATCCCAGAATTGACCAGGGGCAGTCCATTGCTTAGGTGCTAGGAGAGGATAAAAAGTCAGACACTGGGAGATATAGCCAGGAAGACTGAAAGGAAGTGAAGAGAAAATAGCATCCTATGAGCCAAGTAAATAGGTATTTGTTTGGCTTTAAGAGCGTCAAATTTAGTCAGTGCACCTTCCCATTTCCTAGAGTCTCAAGTACCCCAAAATAATTAAATTAGTCCTTATAAGGGGCTATTAGTCACTTTTTAAATAATATGATTCAAAATTCAGGTTAATAAATAAAAATGAATTATTCCACTTAAACATACCTTGAAATAACATATTTGATTGCCAGAGAGGTTTAATCTTTCCAGGTGGTCATTGGGGTCAAGACATTTGCCTTCAATTAAAAAAAAGATAAAATAAATTAAAATTAACTTTTTATTCACATCGTGTCATTCTTTACATACAAATAAGACTAGTAGGAGATTGTGTTAACGGGTAATATTGTTACATCTGATAATCAGAATCTTAGAAATGCTATGGAAAGACATCATATAAAAGTTTAAAAGAAAGATAAGCATTTTTATACTGATGGGAAACTACTGTAGCATTATCTCAGATTGCAAAAGAAACTTTACATACCTATTCTGCTTATTAGATTCCCAGCAAGGTTAAGATCATTTAAATTCTTCAAAGTTTGTAAGCCCTAAAAATTTGGACAACAAATAACTGAGAAAAATATCATTGAAATCCATATTTATAAATCGTATCTGATCAATCTGGTTAGTTCTCAGGTGCTCTGAGTACTGGGCGCTGTGTGCTGTGTAAGCACAGAGGGACAGAGGTGCCTCAACCAAGCCGTCTTTGTTTCTCTACACCAGAACCCAGGGAGATTTACTGGAGGAGGGAGCAAGGAAAGGAGTAGAGAGGAGAGAAGGAAAAAAAAAAACCTCAGAGAGTGTATTTAAAATGCTATGCAAGTTAAACTTCTCTAAACTTTGTATTTCATCTTCAAAGAAGAAATGGCAATACTGTGTCTCTTGGGTTTGTGAAGAGTAAAGCAAATATTTGTATATGAAGCCCTCTATACATCAATAAATACTTGTTATTGTAACAATAATTATACTGGTAAAGAATATTTGGCCCTTAACCATACTGGACACTATGACCTAAATGCCATAGTAGTAACTTGCTTCCTACACAAATCACTGAAATTATCTTACTTCAATATTTTAATTATATTGTGGTTCAGCCAAAGAACTTCCAATCTGATTAATTTCTCTAAATTTTCTATTTTGGAAATTTTATAATATAAATACAACTTTTCCAATTTGCTACATTTTTGAAGACCTCCAATTTTCTGTAAAAAAAAAAGGAGATTGAATAATGTTAGTTTATGTTTTACCTTTAATCCTTCTAATTAAGTCAATTTAAGTACATTTGCATTTGATTATCATATTTTACTACAAAATCAACATCCAAAAAATTGAGCTAAAATGTTGATAATAAAATAAAATGTAATCTTGCCACATAAATAAAACTATTTTCAATTTTGTGTGCTTCCTTTAACTACCTCTATACATATTTTATATGGTTGCAATCACAATGTGAATTTTTTTTTTACTGAGATCAACCTAAAATGTTTTAATCATCTTTATAGTTATAGTATCTGATAATTTAAAATCTTTTCTTATGTTTACAATAATTTTCTTTAACAATACCCTATGTGACATATTTGACATATTTTCAAATGGTTTGCTATTAAAAATAATACACAACAAGTAGCTACATACATATAAGCTGTTTTCTACTGTTGAATTAATTCTATAGGCTAAAATCTTAGAATAGGATTTTGAGTCAAAATGTATAAATATTTCTGTGGCTCTTGATTTATTTTACAGTATTGCTTTTTTTTTTTAAAGATTTATTTATTTACTTGAGAGCCAGAGTTACACACAGAGAGAAGGAGAGGCACAGAAAGAGACAGAGAGACAGAAAGGTCTTCCAGCTGCTGGTTCACTCCCCAGTTTGCGGCAATGACCGGAGCTGCACTGATCTGAAGCCAGGAGCCAGGAGCTTCTTTCAGGTCTCCCACATGGGTGCAGGGGCCCAAGCATTTGGGCCACCTTCTACTGCTTTCCCAGGCCATAGCAGGGAGCTGGATCAAAGTGGAGCAGCTGGGACTTGAACTGGTGCCCATATGGGATGCCGGCACTGCAGGTGGCAGCTTTACCCACTACGCCACAGCACCGGCCCCACAATATTGCTTTTCAAAATAGATGTTATAACTTAAATATGACTAGTGGTATCTAAGTGAAGCAGTTTTTCTGCTAACCAAACTATGATTTGATAAGTAAAAGTAGACTGTGTGTATATTTTGATTCCTTTGGTACATTTTTTCCTTTGTACAAGTCAACTTTTATTTTTTACCTATTTGCCTATTTTGACCCATGCATATATTTCAATGAATTACTTTTCAGGAAAAAAAATACTCCATGTAAGGCTGTATGTTTAAACTTACCTCTATGTAGCACTCAGCAATCCAAAGTTCTTTAAGATGAAAACAAGTCTCTAATCCTGAGATTTCTTTATATCTTGGGCAAACAATTGTAAGACTTGTAAATCAGGAAATAATGATAATCCAACTATACGGGGATACCTGAGAAAAACATCTCCAGTTTTGAAGTATCTGATCCTTCTTTTCCAACCACCTCATAAGATAAAACCATTGCACAAACACTGTTTTAGAAGAAAGAAATTGGGTTACCCATTTTAAATAATGAAAACTGACTTCTGTCAATAGATAAAATAAAGTATCAATTGCCTTGCTTGCCATGGTGAACTTCCACAAGAGAGAAATTTGTACCAGATATATGATTTTTCTCTGACTCTAAAAGTTACGGGGCAGAAGAATCACTAGATTACCCCTCCCAGCTCCATAAAGGAGATAAAAATATTCCACTCAATATCCTTGCAAATGTTGTTGAAAAGAAAATTCGGTTTTGACTCACCAGCTCTTTAATTATTTCTTCTTGGTTTAGGCTTTCACTTTCAATCATCTTCCATTAAAAATGATGGTCATAATAATATATCTGTTAAGGAAAATGAAAAATTGAAAGAAATAGTAGTCACAGCATTCCAGGTGGAAAGGGACCTTGAAGTTACTGAGGTTGAACGACTCACTGATGCTCCAAATCGTCATGGCATATTTTCAAGGGTCTGTCTGCAACCCCAAGACATGTTATTCCATTTTTTCACCAAAATATATATCTTCTTAAAAGTTATTTATTTATTTATTTATTTGCGAGAGGGAGAGGAATACAGAAAGCAGACAGAAACAAGACAGATATCTACAAAGAGAGCTCCCACCTACTGGTTTCATTTCCAAATGCCTGCAGTGGCCATGCTATGACTGAGTGAAGCCAGGAGTTAAGACAGAAATGCAATCCAGGTCTCCTATATGGGTGGCAGGAGCCCAATCACCTGAGCCATCACCACCTTTCCCACCCAGTGTCTGCACTGACAGGAAGCTGGAGTCAGGAGACGGAGCTGGGACTGGAATCCAGGATCTCTGATGGGGGATGCATGTGTCCTAACCAGAAGCCTAAGAGCTGGGCCAAACACCCACCCCTCAACTTATCTTTTAATTCAATTTTCCCACTAACTTGTTGCAGGACCCTTCTGCTATCTAAAAAATATAGAAGCTCTTTTTTTAAAAAGAAGATTTACTTATCTATTTATTTGAAAGGCAGAGTAACAGAGACAGAGGGTCCACTGAATGTTTCATTTTCCGAATGGCTGCAAAAGCCAGGTCTGGGCCAAGCCCAAAGCAGGAAAGTCAGAACTCCATCCAGGTCTGACCACATGGGCACCGGGGCCCAAGCACTAGGGCCATCTTCTGCTGCTTTCCAGGTGCATTAGCAAGAAGCTGACATCAAAGCAGAGTAAGCCAGCACTCAAATCTGATATGGAATGCCAGTGTCACAGGAGGCAGCTTAACACACTGCAAAACAACCCAGCTGTTGTTAACAGGCGACACAATAAGAAAGATGCAGGAAAACACTCCCTACAGAAATGCTATGTACATGTATGTATATGTATATGCATTATATGATTATGTAAGGAGGAAAGAGTACGAAAAATATAACTACTAAGGTGTTCATAAAAGTTACCGTGGATGCAGAAGAAAGCTGATATAGTTAAAATAGAAATGAAAAGTTGGATGAGGACAATGTAGGCAAAAAACTGAAAAGGAAAAAAAAACCGACAGTTTTTCAAAAAGCATGTGTGATATTGTATTGTAAAAATGCATCACCATATATTTATGTATGCTACTTTTTTTTTTTTTTTTGAAGGTAGAGTTAGACAGTGAGAGAGAGAGACAGAGAGAAAGGTCTTCCTTCCGTTGGCTTACCCCACAAATGGCCGCTACAGCCGGTGCGCTGTGCTGATCCTAAGCCAGGAGCCAGGTGCTTCTCCTGGTCTCCCATGCGGTTGCAGGGGCCAGTACTTGGGCATCCTCCACTGCACTCCCAGGCCACAGCAGAGAGCTGGACTGGAAGAGGAGCAACCAGACAGAACTGCTGCCCCAACTGGGATTAGAACCCAGAGTACCAGCGCCGCAGGCGGAGGGTTAGCCTAGTGAGCCACAGCGCCGGCCTATGTATGCTACATTTGACACTGTTCCAGTTGGGTCTAAACAGTGCTTCTCTGAACATTGTTTAATGCTGGACCTAGCTGCATTTCTCCATTGGATTTACACATAGGAGTGGAATGAGAAAACGACAACTACTATAATGTAAAATTCTCACAATCACAGGAGAGCAGGAGATACATATGTACAATGAGTACATTACATATGATTCCATTCAAGAAAAACCTGATAAAAACCCTAATCTATGGTATTAGAAGCCAGGCTAGCTGTTACCCTTCAGGAGTGAGTAACTAGGAGGCAGCAAAAGATGGCCTTCAAAGGGCTGAAAAGACACATATTTTGTGCTGGTTAAAGGGATGCGTTCACTCTAAGAAAAAAAATTAGATATCTAGAGATGTGTGATTTTTATGTGTATGTGTATGTATATACATCAATAAAATTCTACTTAAGTTTTTCTTCAAAAGCACTTATATTCATTTTTATTCAATTGTCTAAGATTATGGACATATGAGGATAAATGCATAAAGTGAAAAATCTTTTTCCTAAAGATTTTATTTTATTTGTTTGAAAGGCAGAGTTACAGAATTAGAGGCAGAGACACAGAAAGAGAGAGAGATCTTCCTCCACTGGTTCATCCCCAAATGGCCACAATGGCCAGGACTGGGCTAGACTGAAGCCAGGAGCCAGGAGCTTCTTCTGGGCCTCCCATGTGGGTGCAGGGGCCCAAACATCTGGGCCGTCTTCCACTGTTTTTCTCAGGTGCATTAGCAGGGAGCTGGATCAGAAGTGGAGCAGACAGGACACAAACCACTGCCCATATGGGATGCCAGTGTCTCAAGAGGCTTTACTCCCTATGCCACAGTGCCGGCCCCCAATAAAAGAAAAAGATGCTGACTTTGGTCACATTCCACTGGAATGATAAAAAATTTATGAAAATAAGAAATGTGTAGAGATACTAGAATAAGAGCACAGACTGCAAGAAATATCCAGAAAGGTCTTTTAAAATGACACTGATGAGGATGGACATTGTAGTGTAGATGGAATAGGCTCTTGCGATGCCGCATCTCATTTCGGGGTGCCTGGGACACAGTTGCACCTCTGTGTCTGAATTTGCTAAAGTTCACTCTGGGAGGCAACAGATGATGGCTCATTTATTGGGGTCCCTGCCACCTACATGGGTGCACCTGACTTTGGTCTGGCTCAGACCCAACTGTTGTGGACATTTAGGGAGTGGAACCAGTGGGTAGAAGCGCACTCTCTCTTTCTCGCTCTGTGTGTGTGTGTTTCAAATAAATAAAAATGAACAATTAATTTTAAAAATGACACTGATGGTATCAGATTGTGAGAACAGCCCATCAGTACAAACTAGATAAAAGTTCAAGATACCAGAGAAAAACTCACAACAATCCTCAAAGTCAGGGCAGCAGATGTTGGGGAAAGGGTGGCCATGGGCCATCCATAAGGAATCAAATGGAAGTTCTCTGGGATCTGCAGCAGAGTACCGCACACGTCTGTATCTGTGCGACGTTTCGTAAATGGGCACATGACCCCACCACAATCAGGGCTCAGCAGAGGGCTTGATGGGGGAATTTATCCCACCTTTACCTTTTACCTTCCACCATGTGACAACCCTCACCAGACAACAGATTCCAGGATCTTTATCTTGGACTTCTCCAGCCTCCAGAACTGTTAGAACTAAATTTCTAGTGTTTCTAAAATTCCCAGGCTCATGTTCTGTCACTGCGGCACAAAGCAGACTAACACAGTCAGCAGGAGGGGAGGAACCCAGCTAACACCACAAAGACAAACACAGCCGGGCAATGATCTTAATACACCGGGCTCTGCTCATTCACCCACGTTCATTGCTGAACGTATGGAGGCCTCATACGTACCAGCCAGAGAATGAGAGCAGTGGGAAGAAAGAGAAGGCCTCTCTGACACAGTAGAATTTGGGCAAAGAATGAAGGCAATGAGAGAGTGTGAGCCGTTGAGGGAATCTGGGGAAGTGTAACCCCAGTGGAAAGAACACCAAAGGCAAAACCACGAGGTGCAAGTGTGTTTGGCACACTGTTTAGAGAACAGTAAGGGAACTGTGTGAATGGAGCGCATCAGGGGAAACAGACACGGGAGGGTAGGAGGTCAGAGAGTCCTGGGGACAAATCACAGGCTCTCTTGTAGGCTCCTGTGCGGAGTCTGGATTTCGGTGAGCGAGAGGGAAAGCTGCATGAGGATTTGAGTGAAAGAACACCAGGAGCTGTGTTAAGTACCGAGAAAGGATCACTTTAGGTGCCCTACTGAAACCAGACTGTAGGGTCCAGCGCACAAGCAAGGAAACTGGCGGAGGGGCATGATGGCGCAGCAGCAGCGCAGGCGGTCAAAGCGGTTAAGATGACGGGCCTGTGCCGAAGGAAGGGCTACTCGTCCTTCTCTGCCTCCCTACGGCAAGTCCATCTCTGCTCCATCCTCGGGAGACTCAGAGAGAGGACAGCAGAGGCAGCAGCAGTGCAGCAGGCAAGGGAGCAACCTGCAATAACGGGGACGCCATCAAAAGCCCGCACACAGGAGGTACCTCAGAAAGTTCATGGACAAAGGAATTGAAAGATAATATATTTTTAAGCATTTATTTGCCAGGTAGAGTTATAGACAGTGAGAGAGAGGGACAGAGAGAAAAGTCTTCCTTCCATTGGTTCACCCCGCAAATGGCCGCTGTGGCCGGCGCTGTGCGGATCCGAAGCCAGGAGCCAGGTGCTTCCTCCTGGTCTCCCCTGTGGGCACAGGAGCCCAAGCACTTGGGCCATCCTCCACTGCCCTCCAGGGCCACAGCAGAGCTGGACTGGAAGAGGAGCAGCCGGGACTAGAACCTGGCGCCCATATGGGATGCCGGTGCCTTAGGTGGAGGATTAACCAAGTGAGCCATGGCACCGGCCCCTAAAAGATAATATTACTTTGGTGCAAAAAAAGTTAAATCCATGTATATAAGCAGTCTTCATAAAATTCATGGAAATGTACACTATGAAAAACACAAGTATGGACCTCAAGTGTTATTTTGTACTGAAATAACATTAGCTTTTAATTCTAATTTCCAAAAAATTTTAAAGTATACTTGTCGATGCAGGCCTTAGGTTTACTCAGATGCTATACCAAATAAAGGAGGTCTTGTAGCCTCTCCACTCATGCAAACAGAAGCCCCTACATCTTGGTTTGATGTCTGTGCGCACCACAAGAAAACCCGGCCACCCACCACCATGCAAGGGGCAAAGGTTGCCCTTGTACCTCCAAGGCACTTGTGCCTCATTTTTGACTTTCTAATCTGCTCCCCTTAGCTCTATCTATTCTTGTATCTGCGTCAGCCTATTTTAATTACTATGAGTTGTATTGTAAATGCCCCAGAGTTTCTGGGGGAATTTTCCTGGCTCTTTTCATATTTATTTTCCCAAAAGATTTATGGTATTTGTATTTGTTTAGAACGTGAGTTAGGGTTTGGGTTGAGATTGCATTATGAAGATTAATTGAGAGAAAACTTTATCTTCACAGCATGAGGCCACTGCAGGACAAAGGCAGAGCTGTCCACTCAATCAAGGATGCTACTTTTCTTGGTAGAGCAGGATGAGTATTTAGGATATCAGTTTATCTTTTACTTATATTCCTCCTCATCAATGCCTTATTCAGAAAAAAATCTTGTTAGAATTCAATAGTTAATGATCAAAAACCCAAACCTACACTTGTGTTTCATACATCTGAATTACAAGGCAGCCTGGACTTCGCCGGTACTGACAAACCTCCTACTCTTTCTCCAGTTACAAGGACTCCAGCCCCAAGATCAAGCTTGCTTCCCTCCAGAGGCACCTGCCCTGCTGGCCAGCTCATACACCACTCCTGTACTCTGGGAAAGTGCCTTGCAGACTCTGCTCAGCAGGGGGCCTTGGGTTGTTCTAGCGCCCCAGGGAAACAGGAGCTACTAGGTTTCTGTAGCTGTCACCCTTCAAAGCACACTCCTGGACTGAGCTAATCACCTCTCTCCGTCTTGGATTGCTGCTGGAAATTTTTGTATGAGCAGTACGGCGCTGAAGTCACTGTGAACGGATGGATTCTAATGTCAGCCGATCTTCATCAGCATGTTTTGTATACTCCTCACCAATCTCCTTTTTTGGAGAGCAGGATGAGAAGAGATCTGGGACACTTGACAAAATGGCTTCTCTGAACTTTCACTACTGCTCTCAAGGTCTTTCTCTCAAGAGACAATCTTGTCTCCACCTTCACAGAAAACACTGATGCAATGAGATGGACGTCCCCCCATCCTCTCCCCAACCAAAGACACACTTCTATCTCTTCTCACTCCTCTCCACCCCTTCTCACTATTCTTCCGCAGTACAAAACACACCTTTCTTCCCGTGTACTGATCCTGTTCTCCCGTGTCTTTCAGAAAACCACTCTAACAAGTTTTGCTCTCGCTCACTTACCCCACCTTTCCTTCTCTGGGCTCTCCTTTCCCTCTGCACATGAGCGCCAGGGCTTTCCTGCCTCAGAAAAGGGCCTCCTATCCGGCTTGCTTCTGCACGTCGCTGTCTTACAGACCTTCCCAGAAACGCGTCCTTGACAGTCGTCAGCAACACTTCCTCCTCACCTCCACTCAGTCCACAACCCTCTGCCATCTGACGAGGCCACCCAAGTCCCTGTAGCTTTTTTTTTTAAATAAGAGTCAACAAACCCCCCTGAAGGCCAGAGACATCAGACATGTTTCGCTGTCCCCCTGACGTGGCGTGGGGCAATGCAGATGCCTCTCCCCCTCTAACTTTTTTCTCTGGCTTCACTTTCTTTCCTTATCCTCTCTTGTTATCTCAAATCCGCTTTTCAACCTGGGTTTCCTCCTGGGTAAAATTTACCCTTCTTTTTCTTCCCCTTTGATGAGCAGCAAATCCAACTGCCCGCATGGAGAGCTCCCTGGCATCTCAGATTTCCCAACTAACTGAAGGCTGTTCGTCCTAACGGAGGCTTTCCTTGATAAAGGACTACCTGAGTCAGACTCCAGACACCCTCAATTTTTACTCTCTCTTTATCCAGGTTCACCCACTCATTAATCTCTCTGCTCACACCTCTTAATGTCTATCACATATATTTTTCGACTTCTCCATTCCTCTTCCCTGGCCTTACTTCAGGCCCTCACCACGTGCCCTAACTGGACGCCTGTGCGTTGTCTGGCTTCCCTCCATCCACCCTCCACACTGCCCTGCCAGCCGTCTTCTGAGAGGCCCATCTGCCAACGCTGCCCCGCGTGGAAGGCATTCCCGTCACCAGGCTGCCTGACCGCTTCTTCAGCTCCTAATCAACACCCCCTCTTCAGAGCACCCCGGCTCTGGCACAGCCGCAGTCTCTGAAGTGGCCTCGATGTTTCTGTACCTTCCCTTATTCTGCTTGTCTTCCCTAGAACGTCTTTGCCCCTGGACTAGCTGGCACGCTCCATACATCCTCAAAGACCAAGGTTCTTCTGTGTGAAGACTCTAGTTCTTCCCGGTAGTGCGATCGGCATTCTCTTCACCTGCACACTGTATTGTGATACTTGCCAGTCTCTCCCCACTACTAGGCATCATGCTCAATTGAGGGCAGGAACTATTAACCTGTCACAGTGCCTGGCACATTCCAGGCGGTTCCTAAACTTGCTGAATGGCTTGAATTCATCACGGCAAGATTCCCATATGGCCTAACTATCTGTCCGACGTGACCATTCAGAATACAACAATGAGAGTAGACGGGTCCACAGGTGTGACTGCCATGATGGGGGGGGGGGGGGCGTGGCTGGTATAGGCAGGCCGCTTGCTCGGAATCTATCAGTCGCCACTGACAGTCCAAACGTCCTTCCCACCGCATCAGGTCTGGACAGCGCGCTTGGTTCTCCCAGCCCAGCGTCTTAACGGCTGGCTGTGATGGCTCCAGAGGTGCCTGCGGGTCAGAGTTTTGTTCCGGTCGCCCCGAGGCCTCGACGAAGCCCAGTCATCGCCTCTCGTTCTTCTCCTCATCTCCGCGGCACCGTGACGGAGTTCCCTGGACTTAACGATGCTGCCCTTGCATTTTCCTCCTGGTGCCCTCCTCCCGGAGGGAGGAGCTGGGAGCAATGGCCCTGTGGCCCCGCCTACAGGTGACGTTAGTCTGAGCGCCACCAGGCTCCGCACACTCACCTTCTTCCTGAGGGAGGATGAGTTCCGGGGTGATCCAAGACAGGGCACAGTCCGCTCTGCCCTCCCAGGCCCTGTCTTGCAGCGGACCGCGACCCCTCTCCGGCCCCGGCCCGCCGCGTACGCACGGCTCGCCGCGGTTGCCTAGGAAACCCGCCCTCCGCATCTGCCGCGTGCGGTAGGGGACGCGGGGCGGGGCAAGGAGTGGCCGCCCCGCGTCTGCATCACGTGCCGGCACCGCTCCAGCCAATCAGCACAGGCACAGGGGTCCACCCGGAAGACCCCGCTGGTGCTCCTGGGAAACGTGAGAGCGTCCATAGCGCAGGTGCTTTGGAACCTCCGCGGGCTCGCCGGCTGCACGGTGGCGTGGCGGGAGGACGCGACCAGAAGCAACAGGTTGTGGGCCAGATGGAGGGCACCCCGTCGTGGCTTCTTCCCAGTCCCTCGCTTCTCGCCTTGAAAGTCTTTGACTCTCGGGGGGCCTGAAGCTCCGAGCCTCCCTGGGCTTGAACCCCTCAAAGGGTGTGACAATGTGATGTCACAAGGCGGCCCGACGGCCCGGGGGGAGCCTGGGACGCTCCGACCCGAGGCCAGCCTGCCGCCAAATTCCAGGCACTGGCCGGCCTCCGCCCGGAGCCGCCGAGCACAGGGACCCGCGGGCCCTCCAGCGGGCGTCGGCCCCTCGGGGTCTTGTTGTCGAATAGTATTCCAGAATGTTCTAGAAGGGGAAAATGACAAAAGGGGGAGACTTTCTAGAGTGGGTGAGGGGCTGAGAGGTGAGCGGGGTTAGTAGAAGACAAGCCAGGGTGGGCCACGGAGGGCACGGCTACGTGTCCCGCGGAGATGAGCTGCAAATTTTTGAAGGCTCGGTGTGAGGAAAACCGTTAAGTGGATGATTTTTGTGTTAACCGCGTGTTGAAATAGTGTTTTTGGTAGGTTGGGGGTAAATCAAATGTATGGAAATGGTGGTTTCTGCTTGGACAAACCGCGGTTAGAGAAGTGTGTGACGCGTTGGGCTTCACTTGCGGGGCCTGCTCTGTGTGACGGTTCGGCCGTTTGTGTAGAATATTTACGACACAGCACCGGGCGCTGAGTGCCATCGCCGGATGACCACCTCGTTTAATAGATAATCGTGATAAAACGCTTACTTAAGAAACTTAGGTCAGATTTTTAGGAAATTTTCCGATAACCTGACTTTCAATTCCGCGCATTTAATTAACTGTATTGTCTACTGTAGAATCAGGTGAACTAATTTTCCCTCTGTTTTGATTTCACCGATATTTCTACTTGTTGTTAATACACTAATTAAAATACATGTGGCTTTGCGAGTTTGATTTAGTGTCAAAAAATCGGATTCATATTTTTACTTTTATCCTCTCTGAAAATGTGGTTGAACAAGATGATCTATCTTTAGGGATATTTTCTTCTTAGAAATTAAAGACTAATTAAAAATTAACAGTCTAGACTTCTAAACTGTTAGGTAAAGAAGTTGCTTCAGAGAGCAAGTTGGAGACTCAAGATGCAGCTGTTTTTGATGAAAGGCTAGAAACGATCAGATTATGATGTTAGAAATCTGTTCTGATCTTCCTGTGTAGTGAAGACTGGAGAGAGCTAGCACTGTTTTCTTTATGGTACATAAGCAATGTTAAATGATTTGTTTTTAACATTTGAAAGGCAGAGTGACAGTGGGAGGCTTCCATCTGCTCCTTGACTCCCCAGATACTCACAACAGCTGGGGTTGAGCCAGGCGAGAGCCAGGAACTCCATCTGGGGTCAATCACATAAATGGTAGGGGCCCAAGGACTTGAGCCATCTGCTGCCTCCCGGAGTGCCCATTAGTGAGAAGCTGGATTGGGAGTGGAGGCAGAACTTGATCGTAAGCACCCCCATCTCAGACGTGGGCGGACGCACGTGGGTCAGCAGCAGCTTGACCCACGGTGCCACAATGACCACTCCCTAAACAAATAATTTTAAGAATATTATTTGTAGTTAAAGCACAAAGACTTAGTAAGATAGCTGTAGACTGTTAACCATTCATGACTTGGCAAACAAGCCTTTGTCCACAGTGAAAGAATTGCCTGTTTGCATGTTTTTTTCTTTTATTTGAAAGAGACAGAGAGAAAGGTCTTTCTTCTGTTGGTTCACCCCCACAAATGGCCACTACGGCCGGCGCTGCACCAATCCGAAGCCAGGAGCCAGGTGTTTCCTCCTGGTCTCCAATGTGGAGTGCAGGTGCCCAAGCACTTGGCCCATCCTCCACTGCCTTCCTGGGCCACAGCAGAGAGCTGGACTGGAAGAGGAGCAACTGGGACTAGAACCGGTGCCCATATGGGATGCCGGCGCTGCAGGCGGAGGATTAACCTAATGAGCCATGGCGCTGGCCCTGTTCGCATGTTCTAGATATTATTGGGTGCAAAAGATGCTTCCAATTAAAAGCAGTGGGGGGGGGGGGGGACTAAAGGCTGCTGGTTCTAATCCCGGCTGCTCCACTTCCAATCCAGCTCTCTGCTATGGCCTAAGAAAGCAATGGAAGATGGCCCAAGTCCTTGGTTCCCTGCACCTGTGTGGGAGACCCAGAAGAAGCTCCTACCTCCTGGCTTTGGATTGGCGCAGCTCCGGCCATTGTGGCCATCTGAGGAATGAACCAGCAGATGGAAGACCTATCTCTGTGTCTACCTCTCTCTGTAACTCTTTCAAACAAAATAAATATTTTTAAAAATAATAGGAATAAAAGTAATCATTTTTGCTAACCTCCTGTTCTCACTTTAAAGTTGCGTATGGTATGGTTTTATGTCTGTACAAAAAGAGTGGAAACTGAAGGCACTAAAAAATAAGTGAATTAATAAAAAGCTTCTATTTAATAAATATAAATTTCATAGGTACCACTTTTGGATTATAGAAGTTCTTCCCCCCAAACCTGCCCTCCACCCCCAAACCATCTCACCTCCTACTCCCTCTCCCATCCCATTCTTCATTAAGATTCATTTTTTGTTATCTTTATATACAGAAGATCAAACTATATTAAGTAAAGATTTCAACAGTTTACAGCCACTAAAACACACAAAGTATAAAGTATAACAAGACTAGTTTTACCATTAATTCTCTTAGTACAACACATTAAGGACAGAGGGTCCTACATGGGGAGCAAGTGCACAGTGACTCCTGTTGTTAATTTAACAATTGACACTCAATAAGGCTTCGTTTTACAGCTAATAGTCCTAGGTAAAAGCCACACCATATAAATTTAAATTATTTATTTACAAGTAAAGTTATCTTGAATCTAAAAAAATTTTGGGAAGATATATTACCACTAATTGTAGCAAAATTACTGCATAACTGCCTGAGTGCTTTTATTTGAACAAAACAGAAATGACTTTGCTGACCCAGATTTTAAAATCTTGAATTGCATAATAACCTGTTAACTAAAACTCTGAATTGGTTATTAAATTTATTTCTCAAAAAATCCTACTCTTGGTAGAGAACTGTGGGAATAATCTAATTTTAATTCTACTTTGTAATGCTTTAATTTGAGAGAAACAAAAACCTGGAAATTTTTGCTTAAGAGGCAGATAGAACGAGTGCCTCTTCACTGGTGTTCTCCCCAGATACTCACAATGGGCGGGGAAGCAAAGCTGGGGTCCCATATGGGTGGTGGTCTCCAGTTATGTGGGCCATTACCTATCATTCTCTCCAGGGTAAGCATTAGCAGGAAGTCAGGAGCTGGAGCTGGAAACCAAACCTGGGTACTCCAGAGTGGGACACAGACATTTTTTTTTTTTTAGATTTATTTACTTATTTGAAAGAGTTAGAGAGAGAGAGAGAGAAAGTCTTCCATCTGCTGGTTCACTCCCCAATTGGCTGCAGTGGTGGAACTGAGCTGGTCAGGAGCCAAGAGTTTCTTCTGTTTCTCCCATGGGGTGTCGGGGTCAAGGATTTGGGCCATCTTCTGCTTTCCCAGGCCGTAGCAGAGAGCTGGATCAGAAGTGGAGCAGCCAGGACACGAACCAGCGCCCATATGGGATGCCGGCACTGCAGGTGGTGGCCACAACACTGGCCCCAGGACGTAGATGTAGACGTAGACATAGACATCGACATCTTAATTGGCGTCCTAACTACTAGGCTAAGTGCCTGACCCACTGGAGATTTTAAGTACTGATTAGATTTTTATGTTCTTGTAGACATTTGATACTTACGCAAATGAGCACTTCCCAGCTAAAAGTTTTTAAGATTATCTGTAAAAATATGCTCTCTTATATTTGAGTATCATAAAAGTACAACTTAGCGTTGTGTATGGAAGAGATAATTATATGGCACTCATAAAGTTATTAATGTCTAGAATTATATATAATTATGCAATTAAAAGTTAGGAATTGTTTTGAAGAAAAGTTTTAATGGGACCACCAGAATGCTAATTCTAATGGTTTACCTTTAAAAAATCTCGCCTTGGCTATGACTTGCTATATAGTTAAAAGAACAAGCTTTCCTTAAAAGACAGTCAAGGGTATTGTGAAAAGGCACTCCTCATTTAGCTCTAAGGCAGCAAATTGAGGGACAGTGAATTGGAGCAAAATTGTAGTCTTAAATCACTAGAGAGCTGCCTAGTTCTTTGCGAGGGAAAACTCTTTTTGTCTACCCTCCTTTCCTTTCTCTCCTTTATCCAGACCAGAGACTTAAAGTTGAGTGTGTTCTTCAGGTCAAAGCACTTTATTGCTGCGGGTCCATGTAATACCCTTCTCTTGTATTTTATCTCCATTTGTTTGCATTCTCCACCCCATCTGAACCATGTGCACTCATGTTTTTTTGTTTGACAGGCAGAGTTATAGAAAGAGAGACAGAGAGAAAGGTCTTCCTTCCTTTGGTTCACCCCCCAAATGGCCACTATGGCTGGTGCCACACCGATCCAAAGCCAGGAGCCAGGTGCTTCTTCCTGGTCTCCAATGTGGGTGCAGGGCCCAAGCAGTTGGGCCATCCCCCACTGCCTTCCCAGGCCATAGCAGAGAGCTGGAGTGGAAGAGGAGCAAACGGGGACTAGAACCGGTGCCCATATGGGATGCTGGCGCGCAGGCAGAGGATTAACCAAGTGATCCATGGCACCGGCCACTCATGTTTCTTATAAACCATTAGCTATCCATTTATCTTTTAGAAAACATGCACTATTTTCTGTTGTATATTTTTAATTTACATAAATGGTATCATGGTATACATTTTATTTTT